ACCAGAAATCATGTTAAAATTAATGATCCAAGTGGTTGTAGTCATGTTATCTCCTGTAACAGATACTGCTGTGCTTGTTGTGAAACAGGTACAACAATCAAGATATTTAATATAATCTATGTCTTAAAATATGATACCTTTCCTGCAGACATGAACATCTGTTTGGGGATTGTTAAAGTACAAATAGTTTAATTCACAACTTTAACCAATTTTTTTTTGTGTGATCTCACATACTCTCTATCTATTTCAGTTATTCAACCTTGTAATGTTACACTGTGATGGCAAATATAAATAGGTAAACATTGCTACTGAGGGATGCCCAAGCACAGGACAAAAGCAAGCACAGTGCAGAGTCCCACATTCTCCCCCTGGGTAGCACAGAACAGCTGTCAGGCTTAGAGCACAGTGACACCCTCGCAATGATGGAGACAGAAGGCTAGAAGGTGAAGGTGTCGGGAAGGAGCAAGGGCTGACTGCTCCCCATGGGAAGGGAGCCACGAGCTGAGGGTGAATGTCTGCCAGCCTGGGCACAGACACAGCTGAGAAACATGGCTCAGGCAGAGACAGAAGGGACAGCCTCTGCTGAAAAGCAGCTCCCCAGGGAAGGAGGGAACCCCAAGCTTCTGACTTCTCATCAGTGATGAAGCTGACCTTCAACTTGTCCTACTGAGCACCTTAATGCATGCCACTGAGCCCCTTAACTCATCCCGTTGAGACCCCCATGATAGAGTAAGTACCCAGGGTGCTGACAGAACATGGGATCCTACTCAGATTTTTCACAAATATTTCCAGAGGTTCTACCAGCTTTACTGGAGGAGCTGGTCTTCCATTTTTGCCTTTTAATGTCCTTAGGAGAAGCTCTGCCACTTCAATAGAACTTTTTCTTTTTTGGAGGGGAGATGAGGAAGAATGGTTAAAATGACCTTGTTTCTTTAACTTTGAATGTGAAACCCTCATTTAGTCAGAGAAAAAGAAAAATGTCGTTTCATATTTTCCAGTATATACATCACAGGTTATGACACTTCTCAGGAAGTATTGACATTTTCAAGCTGAGGTAAAGGTCTTGCAGTACTATATGATCCAGCGGCAAATTCTAGCATACCTGCTGTCTGAGGTAATTCCTTCACATGAAAATTGCAAGTTTACTTTTAAAAATTATTGACACTGGTATTTTTTTTTCAGTACTCTTCTCCTGACAACTTGCCTGCATTTTCAATAAACCTTATTTCATTTATGGGTAGCTATAGAACAAAGCAGAAGTGAGCTACCTGTTTTAACGATATTAACAATCTCTTTATAAAACACTGGAACTGTATATCATGTTCAGTGAATACAAATGTCAGTTTTATGTACAAAATCTGAAATAGTACTTTCCAGTTCAAATGAAAAGATTATAATGGATTCTCATACTTGTTTTAATATTTCTAGAATCTAATGAATTAAAAATCACTTTTATTTTATTATATAATACATACAGTTTCATTCTGGAAAATTATATTTTCACATTTTCACACCTAGACACAGATGAGGATTAATTGTGCTCTTGTAACTCGCTTTTCACAAAGAAAGATCCCATGAAGCATTTGGATTCCTATGTGAACCCAAATTTTCTGAACGTTGGTGTTTGTCCTGAGCTGTTTAGATATAGGAAACAGGTCAGTGCTGACTGATCTTCAAAGACACACTTACCATATAAGTCATATTTAGCTCTGCTTTTTTCATAAAAGCAGCATTATTTTCTTCTACTGGGAAGGAAAAGGAAATTCAAAACAATTCAAAGCTGGCTTTGTAAAGTGAGGAGTTGGCTTATTTTGTGAAAAGATTGAATAATGATGGTACTGACAAGGAAAAAGAAAAAGGAAAAAAAAAAAAAAACCAAACACTAAAAACTAACAAAAAAAAGCTAAGGCATTTAAGATCTAGACAAGATCCACAGATGATGTAAACTGTGGGTCAATTTCCACCCATTGAAGATGAGGCTGTTTGTTTCCAAACCCTCAGAAGGTGAAGACCATGATGATGAAGGTTACCACAGTTGTACCTTCATTTCAGATGTTTATTTGCCCACTGCCAAATTCATCCACTTGACCACTCCAATATTCAGTTCACAAAGACTTGCAGTGTGGTGTCATCACACCAGAGGTGACACAAAAATAACAGTAATAACTCTAAACTACTTTCCATGCAACTTAGGCAAAGTTGACAAAATCTGATTTTTCTAGGGTCTATGTGTCTCAAGATTGGGGAATAAAAATCTTTGTGAACTATGGTACCTCTCAAAGTACATCATAGTTTAAAGAATTTGTAAATCTTGGGCACTGAGTAAATACCATAAGGTAGCTCCCAGAGAACTGATGGTTAACTGTATAGCTAACAGCATGAGGTAAGACAGAACCAGCACACCAGCGTTCAGCACCACTCAAGCACAAATAGAACTGGCTATATTTTCGTAATATTCTCCAGTAGGTTAGGCTATAGGCCACAGCTAAACCTCGTGTGGCTGCATAAGGACCTGTTCTCAGCATCAAGAACTAATGTTTGCACAAGGAAAATTGTGCAAACTCTATGCAAATGTCTAGCATATTAACTAACTCTCTTTGCAGGGCTTTTAGTCCACACAGGCAATTAGTGAGCTAAGGGCTCACACACTGACTTTTTCCTCATTACCTTGCTTAAGTAGACAAGCCCTTTCTGAACAGAGCCACAGAAACACAGATGTGCATTTGGATAATCTCCAAGGTCAAATCTTTCCAGGCACACTAGGGGAGCGGGAGTCTCTAAGGGCAAGAATATCAAAATAAAGACTATAAAAGGGTCTGCATACCACCAAACTGTTCAGCAAGATTTTCAGTAGGAAACCCAAGGGAACATCTAGGAGCAAAGAAGGGAAATGATCCTCAGCTGTGTAGCTCTGGTAGTCTGCTGAACAAAATTCATAGGTGCTGGCTGCACAGAAGGCTTACAAAAGGTCTACCTCTTGTCAACCATTATAAGGGGAAGTTTTATGGTGCCAGTTTTATGATGCCAGGCAACCAGGCAGTATGTCTGTTTGCTCTTTTTTACTGGGGCTTCATCTAAGAAGCAGGATTTATCTCTTCTAAGCTTATTAGGAATTTGCTGTATTTGCTAAATATTCATAGCTAAAACCTGTATGCTTCTTCTTGATCTGTGAGTTCTTTTCAGATGAAATCTCAAGAGTTTTTTTACTAGCTCTGTTTTACCTTCTGATATGATAACAGTGAATTTGTGTCACATAAGTCCCAATAGACATGTTCAAAGAGAAAAGGTTTAAGCTTGGAAAGAAGCAGGGTACAGAATAAGGCAGTAAAAAAGAGAAATCGGTTCAAATGGAGAATAAAATGAAAGACAGAAAAGAGTTTCATTTAAGGATTATCAGATATTCCTGTCTGCAGATAGAGAATTAATTAAAGATATGGAGAAGTGTACTAAAAGCCTTGGTCCTACACTGAAGCAAGCTATAGCATGTTTGGTTATACATGCCACAGATGGCAAGGTTCACTGCTGCGGTCCATGGCCAGTTGGCAGGAATAAACACACAAAAAAACTATTTCTGTGGGCTGTCAGAATTGGGTGCACTCTCACATTTTGTCTTGCATACAGAGAAGCAGAAGAAGGAGTAGGCAACCCGTTTTCTTCCTAATGTCAGTTACACTGTGGTTGAACCTTTTCCCAGAAAACTTGCTAATGTGTTGTCTTGGTGCCAGTGAAGAGGTTTCTTGATGAAATATCCTCACCCTACTGAAAGCCATCCTTATTGATAGATCAGAGAGAGAGTAAGAGCTTGAACAAGGCCAGTTTCGCTCAGTGGAGATTGTCCTTGCAAAGAATAGAGAAGCATTTTGTTCATTTCAGAGGCTTCTTTTCTCTATTTCTTTCATTACCCTCCATAGCACCTGCTCAGGATTTAACATTTCAGGATACTCCAATATCATCATTGCTTTTTTATTTGATTATCAAAATAAATAGTTAAACTGAAAGCTGTAAGCTTAAGATTGGAGTGTTTCATTTTCTAAATTACATATCTTTGTCACTTACTTCAGACTGATCTTGAAAATAAAACTTGAAGAATTTTTTTAAAATGTCTCTTAAATATGAGTTTCCCCAGTGTTCTTTGTTTTCAAGTGAGCCTTTCTTTGCAAGTAATTAAAAAAAAAAAAACTTCACAGTTGTTCTGTTTTGAATTCAAGTATTTGTCTCTGACCTTTGCTAAAACTTGTAAAATCACAAGGAGATAAGCATGACAGAAATCATGTGCTGTTCAAGTACTTAAAGTCCAGGGAAATGCACTGAAGTAGAAAGGGGATTAATAGAAGGAGTGTGAGGCCAAGCCATACTGTGCTGGTAGAAGGATTAGTAAGCAGACTGAACCAGGAAGCAGACTGAACCAGGAGAGAAATTAGCAGTGCTTTTTTCGGGTTAGACACAGCCCTAGGACGTGCAGAGATAGAACAGGATCTCAGCAGAGGAAAGGTACCAGCAAGAGAGAAGAGATACAATGCATGAAGCATTGCAGCTTGACTTTCTGGTGCAGCTGCCATTAGAGAACAGCAAAGGAACATGGAGGGGAACTGCTGAGTAGAAAACAAGATACAATAGTTAAATACAGAAAAGAAAGGCATGAACGGGATGGGTGAAAGGGGTGGGGGGTGGGGGGGGAAGATGAAAAACCTGGTGCCTTGGACAGGTTTCTGCATTTTGTTGTAGTGAAGTAAATCTGGCTGGCAGATGTACAGTGTGAATGAACATTTGGGAAGAACTTAGAAGTCAATGAGCAAATACAGCCCTAGGTAGTTATTATCTTTTGTGCAGATAATGAGAGAAGAACATTAGAGTCTGTAGTTAGAGTTCTTTGATTTTCCAGTTAGAGTATCGAAGTACAGGGTTCAGAGGTACTTTCTGGGGTGGAAGGGGTAGCCTGGAGGTTTGTAGCACTTGTTTTTATCTCTCTCCCTCTCTCTCTCTCTCTCTCTCGCTGGGCATCCCATCGCAGGAAAGGAGAAGACAGCGTGCGTGGACTGCTGGCTCTCGGAACGAGCCAGCTCTGCTGGATCTGCTGTCATGCAGCTCCCCGTGCAGCTGCTCCTTTCCCTGCCATTGCTTCTTAGCATGCTTGGCCAAGCTGAAGCTCAGTTCCCTCGCCAGTGTGCTACTGTCGAGTCCCTGAGGAGCGGCATGTGTTGCCCAGACTACTTCCCTGTGTTTGGGCCAGGTACTGACCGGTGTGGTGTGTCTACGGGGAGGGGCCGCTGTGTACAGGTGACTGTTGATTCACGACCCCACGGCCCACAGTACATCCACGATGGGCGGGATGACCGTGAGCAATGGCCCATACGCTTCTTCAACCAAACCTGCCGGTGCAATGGTAACTTCTCTGGTTACAACTGTGGGTCATGTCGCCCTGGCTGGAGTGGACCTACCTGTAGCCAACAAATCAATATAGGTAAGAGCATCAGAAATATGACATCAAAAATGTCTGTTGCCAATGCTTGCTTCTAAATGTACTTAGCATATTTCTTTTCTTTAAAATACAAAATGCACCTTATATTTATTTAGCAAACGTACATTGCCATAGGGGTTATTAAGGCAGCTGCTAGATGAGTTGTTCAGTTTGTGTACCAAGCACCTACATTTACTACTCAGTAAAAGGAAAAAAAAACAAAACTTGTAGTCAGTGCAGTATTAGGTCCAAGTCCATTAAAGAATAGAACATCTAAGTTGATAAAATTGTATTTTTTGGAATTATTTAAAACAATGTATATAGACATGCATGTGTGTTTGTAAGTATGCCTGGGAATAATACATATCTAGATATCATGTCTAATACCTTCTGACTACTTTAAGTGTGACAGCAGCTCTTTTGATTCAAAATCCCTTAATACCTTTCTAAACTATGTACCTGATCTTGTAAATTTTTACTTACCTAGTTGCTTTCAATGACTTTAAAAGCCTTAACTCATGACTATGAGCTGTTCAGATGAATCAGCATAGGGACTAGTGAGCCTTTCTGAGAGTACTACAGTTTCAATTTAGTCCAGAATATAAGTAAACAGATGTCTAAATTTTTTTGAAATGGTTATGACTGGGAAAAATGTTGACTATTGTAGGCAAATTGAAAAAGACAGGCAGGCTTGGGGACAGATCCTTGTTCTCAAGTCAAAATCATATGAATGAACAAGATTTCACTCTTTATTAGTGAAATATTAAAGGTATTATTGAAATCCTCTAAAATCCATAATTGCCCAAATGAGTGATGGGTTCTGTTGATATGAGAAGCAACGGGTCTCTAGCACAAATGTGCAGTGCCTCTTGCAGAAACAGAAATCAGCACTGCCAGTATTTTCATCAGATAGGGAACACTCCATGAACGTGACTGCATGTTCCAGCAAGGGTTAAAAAAGGACCTCTTACCAATTCAAAATCTTGACAATAAGATTCCTTAAAAACAACTTATTGAGGGCTGTGGGAAAGACCTTAAGATTTTATTCATGCTTTGAGCCTAGAGAAGCAAACTAGAAAGCAGAAAGTATGACTTACGAATTGGATCTGCTAAACCAGGTTGCACCCCCTGATGCTGTGGCCTGTTCTCATTAACAACGATGATAACTCTGAAAAATAACCAAGAAACGAATGTTAACACACACAAACTTGGCAAAGTAAACCTGGAGATAGGCAAAAAGACACTTTAGCTGATTTTCTAGGGTATACAAGAGCACTTTTTACTTTTCTTGCTTCTTAAATCCTTTACTACTTAGTAAAATGCTAAGCAAGTCAGATTTATTGTGCATGACAACATGAGTTTAAATAGGGGAAATTAGCTTCTTGTTATGCTTTAGGTTTCCACATGGAGGTCACCTCTTTTGTCCATCCATAGACCTGGCCCCAGCTGCTCAGACTTTAGGAATAATTATTAGGTTAGTGTTGGCATATCCATATAAAATAGCTGTAAAATGCAGTTTGGTGCTTTCGTATCTTCTAAACTCATGCCTAACTTTAATAATAGTCCCAATTTTTTACTGTGGTTCAGGCACATATATTGAAAAATGACAAGGTAATTATGTCTATGTAAAACAAAATTAGATAGATATTTTTAGTGCACTACATAAAATCAACAACAAAAAACCCTTCAGTGATGAAAGCTAGCACATCAGTTCAGTTCTGCAAAACAGAAAAGCGTGTTTCAGGATACAGAGTCCTTGGATGAAATTCATGCTTCATAAAAGTATTTCTATAAACTTCAATGAAGCCAAAATATCCCCCACTGAATCAACTTTATATAGTGAAATATAATTCACTTTTATTCTTCATATTGATTCACGCTGAAGATCTGTTGCTTCTCATATAAACATAATCTATCACTCATTTGGACAATTATGCATTTTACAGTATTTTTTATAAGGAAAATGAATGCATGTTGAAAAATAGCTGTGAGGACTTCTACCTATGTCTTAGTCTAAACATAGCCTGAAATCTTCTCAGTCCAGGTGAAAGAGTGCTGGACTGGGACTGAGGTGACGTGGACACTGTTCCTCTTGCTGACATACTGGTATTTCAACAAGTCAATTATCTTCCTTGTTTCAATTTCTATATGTGAACAATGATTTTTTTAAATTCTTTTGAGTTATACTGCTAAAAAGGACTAATATATGGCTGTTGTAAATAATAGCAGGTAATAGTATCAAAGAGAGATGTTGTACTGTATGAAATTCACAATTCTCAATTCACTGGTGAATCTGGCATTTTTCCTACAAAGGTTCAAGCATAAACGATACACTTCACTAAATCGTCAAGCAGTAGAGCTCCTGATTATTATAAATTGCTATATAGTATTACTTTCTTGTAAAGTATTACCACAGGAAACCTTAAGTATATTGGATGAAGTTCTGAAAGGTTTGTATGATAAAGAACTTTGTCATTTCTCTGACAGCATGGAAGGATAATCTGTAACAATACTTCTAAAAGCAGTATAACTACAAGATTTTGGGCTTTATTTTTATTCAGCTCAACATGTTTGGTACTCTCTGAATTGCCCCAATAAAAAATGGATGAAAGGTTGAAGAAAAAGGGACTTACCCGGTATTATTAGCAGCAAAATAAGTTAGTCCTGTGAAATCAGATTTAAGTGTCTATTACTTCGGTAACTTGCTTCTTTCATATCTTCACAGTCAGGAGGAATCTTTTGGATCTAAGTGCAGAAGAAAGGAGGCGTTTTGTGAATGCCTTACACCAAGCCAAGGTGACAATCCATCCTGACATTGTTATTGCCACACGAAGACGTGAGGAAATACTTGGACCAGACAGCAACACACCACAATTTGAAAATATCTCCATTTATAACTACTTTGTGTGGTCTCATTATTATTCTGTGAGGAAGACTTTCCTTGGTGTAGGGCAGCAGAGTTTTGGAGGAATTGATTTCTCTCATGAGGGACCAGCTTTTGTCACGTGGCATAGGTACCATCTACTGCAGCTTGAAAGAGACATGCAGGTAAAGTTCACATTAATGTTGAGCCATGTGTTCATGCTATGTTTTGTACAGTTAAAGAACTTCTCTCCATATTCCAGTAGGCAAAAATAATAGCAGCTCTTTCTATGCATTGAAATAATTCTGCTTCAATTTCAGTAACTCATTAGTCAGGCTGAACTTAATAGAGTGCACTTAGGTTCTAAACTGGCATTGTTATAGAGATGCTAAAAATAACCTCAAGCAGAGTAATGGAAAACATAAAAGTTACATAAAAATCTCCTGTAAAAATAGATACAAATTCTAGAAATATCCATAGAAAGCATTTTATTGGACCAAAAATTTATTGCCAGTGTTATTTTTAATATCAAGGCCCTGATTCTTGACTAAGTTAGACTAATCAAAGCAGAATAAATTCTAAAAAAAACTATTACAGAGATGGCTTGGGGATTCATAATCACATTTTATTTGTATAATTTGTGTAACTGGATAGAGAAATTAGTGTTTTGTTATGCTCTGTTCCATAAATCAGTGATTCTCTAGTTTCCTTTTCCTTGTGAGGACCTATCCATAAAAGGAATATATATTTTTTATGGACCTTCATCCTTCTTAAATAAGAGAGAATTAAGGTTTCAAGGTCAGGATTAAATAGTCTTTGAAATCACTTCAAGTGTTTCCGCTAGTTTCAGTGGCTCCGCATCAGGCTGAGGCACAACCTCCCTTCAAAAACTTACATTTAACATCAGTGGCATTTCATTATGTGGAAGTTCTGAGGAGTTGTAGCTCTTGGTGATACTTGATAATCCCTATGTGTCCCTTCCAGCTCAAGATATTCTATGATTCTGTATTAATATATATTCCTATTTATGTTAGTAAACTTGATCATTAGTTAAACTAAGTTGGCTGGGCAACACATCCTGGTATATGAATATTGGAAGCCAGGACACACTCCAGAACTGTTCAACTCCACCTCATACTAGAACCAAGCAATGACAATTTGTAGGGCTGGTATCCCTTTTCCTTACTTTTCTGACTGCTCAGTCATTCTGCAGTTGGCTTAGATATTCTGTGTGCTACAAATGCTGTTGTTGTTGACAGGCCATTAAAAATATTTGGAAAAATGGGGTATCAGTATTAAGTGATATTTCTTACTACTCATGATACAGTTTCATGGAAGAGGTACCGTCTTAATCTGTGACTCAATTCAACACTCCAAATATCTGTTCTATGAGCAAAGGCATCAATGTGAAAAACTAACAAAAACTTTTCCATAGATTGCATAGATTTTCCATAGATTTCATCTCCTCCATGAGGCAGGACTCTGACTCTTACTAAGATATATCTAACTGGTTTTTAACATCCTTCTAGCAGTAAATACTATAGCTGTCTGGGGCACACATGTATTAACACCATATTTATGGGGTTTAGAACATGCTTCAGGATCCCACTTTTGGACTACCCTACTGGAACTTTGCAACTGGACAAAACACCTGTGATATCTGCTCAGATGACTTGATGGGAGCTAGAAGCAATTTTGATGTCTCTCTTATCAGCCAGAACTCAATCTTCTCTCAGTGGCGAGTGCTATGTGAAAATATAGAAGACTACGAGACTTTGGGAACCATCTGTAACAGTAAGTATGGCTGCTGGCAGATATTTGGAGAGAAAATCCTTTTAATAATAAATAAACAGAATACTTTACATTGCAATGGCTTTTCCCAGCCAAAAAGTCCTCAAGTGGTTTTTGAATATTCTTGATCCAAGTTTCATCAGTCTTCTGAGATAGTACATACTCATCATCTGTCTTGCACTGAGGCACCAAGCAGTTCAAAAATGTAGCTAAATGCTTTGACTTCCCTTCTTATGCAGTATCTGTTCATCTCCTATGCCATAAATAATTAAATTTGGCAGTGTCATTTCTTAATTGAAGCTTAAGTTTTCTTCTGACTACTCCATTTATCACCTTTGTGGCATTCTGCTCCAGAGAACATCTAAAAAAACCCTGTGTTAACTATGTGGAGCATGTTTTGAATGTGAAGAATATTGAATCTTAACACATCTACCTCAGCTACAAGAGCTAAAAAATCCCAGCAAGATTCTTGTATATCCATCACCTTCAAGCCACAATTCAGCATCTTCATGGAAATACGGGGAAAAAACAGGGAAAAACCACAATACTGGGTTAGTCACCTATACAATAAACTATAGTCCTTTCCCTAGCTACCTTATCAGGACATCCTGAAAACTTTTTCCCGAGGCCTCATCAAGAAATCACATGGAAAAACTATACAAAATTATTCCAAAGCACTTACAGAACCACAAATTTCAGGAATAGTCTTCTAGATGCTCTTTTAAATCCTGGTGCAAAGGATCCAGCACACAGGAACGCAGGAAGATTCAGATTCTTTGCCCAACATGAGGAACTGACCCATTCATTAAGTTTAAGTGTCATTTGTGAGAGACTTTTTTTTCCCCATGGTTCAGTCATTAGAAGGATGCATTCTGTGGCCTACTGTTTTGTACCAGTATTGTTTTCTCTCTCCTCTCCACCCCCAGGCACTGAGGGTGGTCCTATCCGAAGAAACCCTGCTGGAAATGTTGCACGGCCTATGGTACAGCGTCTCCCAGAGCCTGAGGATGTTGCTCAGTGTTTGGAAGTTGGTGTATTTGACACTCCTCCTTTCTACTCCAATTCAACAGACAGTTTCCGTAACACAGTAGAAGGTAAACAGGGCAAATAAAAGGACCTGGAACAACTCCAAATAAGTCAAGGGAGCAGGCCTGTCATTTTTCCTGTTGGAAGTATGAGTTTGGAGACAGTCTATTGGACACTAACACATTGCTCTTAGCATTAAGTATTAGTTTAGTATTAAGTGGAAATAAGCTCTGCGTAAATTACTTTATAGCTTATGTCAGTTCTTTAAATGCATAAAAGTCTCAAAAATCTGTCAGTGGTGTACTAAGTAGAAACTAGCCAAGATCAGATTCTTGCAACCTGATAATAGGTTGCTCTGGCTGAAAACAGACAGCTCTTGCCTGCAGATTAATGCAGCTGCATACTTAAATGAGGCAAACAAGTGCTCATAGCAGTTACTTTTGAACCTGAATTAAAACAAACAAAAGAAAGCAAAAGAAATTGTAAGTCTTGGTAGTACTTAATGAAATGGTATTGAAGTAGTAACTGAGGTCTGCATACAGATTTACTGCTAGACATGTTAGTCCTTCTCTCTGGGACATATAACTTCGTTCTTCTCTAAGCTCTACACAGTTCAAATGAAATTTTCAGCCACTGGCATCTGAACACACACCCCACAACACAGAAAGCAGCCTAAAGATTTGATCCATGCTGTTCAGCTAGTATACTGCCAGCTGCTTCTGCACTTTAATAATCCAGAGTTTTTAACAGGAAGGACTAGGATCCATGAGAAAAGATTACCAAGTAACAGTTCAGATCCCTGCCAGACCTTCCATAGATTGTCTGGCTCTTTTGAATCATAGAATCATAGAA